CGCCCCTACTCCTCCCCGCGGGCGGGTCCCCGCCGGGGCCCCGAGCAGGCGCGTGCTCCGTCCCTGCCGTGCCCGCGGGCAGCGCTGGGTCCCGGGAGAGACGGGGGAAGGCGGAGGCGGGGGGCTGGCAGCGCCGCAAGGTCACGCAGTCCGTGGGGCAGAAGCGACTCCCCCGGCAGGCGCGGGGGCTGCGGGCCGGGACGTGGCGGGAGGTTTTGCAGGGGCTGCCGCTTTTGGCTGCCCAGACACTCGAGCTCAGGGTTCCTCCCCGCTGCAGGGCAGGGCCGCACAGACCACGGCGGGTATCTGTGGAGGTAGAAAAGAAAGCTGTGCCACGTTCTGGAGTGCTCCTTCTATAAGTTTTGTTAATTTTTTTATAGAGAAGAAGGAGAATTTGATTGAGTTGCCTTTGTTCTTGCAGTGATGCTTGATTTTTATGATAATAATGATGTAAATAGTGTAAAATGTTCATGGTCATAAGTTTGGCAGCTTTTTTTCTAGTAAACGTAGAACAGCTCTTAAAAAAGAGGGTAAGCGATATTATCTTCACAGAATGAAAATGTACGCAACTGGCAGCCTTTTCCCTTGGTTATCTCTCATCCCTGTGCTGCTGACAGCAGTTGAACACAGCATCTTCCATGTGCTGCCTTTTGTTCGTGCTCTGCTTGTGACTTTGCATTCTGCCACTTCTTCAGCGTGTGTGGGTATCAATGAGTGCCAGCAAAGGGCACACGGATGCCAGGCCCTTCTAGCTCTTTCTCTGAGTGTGGGCTCTGTGTACCTGTCCAGTGGAGCACTATCTCCATGTGACTTGGCAAGTTGCCGTATCTTTCCTTCTAAATCAAAGCAAGTTCCTTCTTCCTGACCCCTGCGTGCTGGGATACATGCACATGCTTGCGTTTGTCTGGCCATGGGGATTAGACTGCTGCTTCTGAAATGCAGACAGGCAGCAGTAAATAGCTGCAAAAAAAAAAACCCAAACCAAATGTGAGGGAAAAACCCAACAACTTGACAAAACCCCTCACCTTGACTCTGCTTAAGCAGAAGCAGATACCAAAGCAGCTGAACTAGAGAGGTGCCTACTTTCTTATTTTTAGAGGCTTGACCTAAACTTTAAATCTTTTCTGAATCTATTTGTGGAAGTTGATATAAGTAACAGGACTGTGGCTCAGGCTGCAGATTCTCAACAATTTTTTTGTGAAAGGGTAATGCTTGAAAGCACCTGAGAAAGACTGACAATGGACTTGTGCTTCTTTAATTTAAACCTCTTCACAAGTACAAATGCAGCTGTCCCAGGGTGAACTGGAGAAATACAGTTCATATAATCAACAACTATGCTGACCAAGCTATAGCAACCAAGGGTTTGGTGTTAAAAAATGCCTAGAGGCCTTTCTAGACAGAGGAGTCTGCTCTATCTGTGGGTGGTTCATTCCCCAGCTGGAGTACATCTTCCTATGGCTGAGCTGTCAGGACTGCCCAAGCATCTGCCTGTGCCTTCAGGAGTTTCTGATGCAATCGGAGGTGGTATTTGCTGCTGTTAAATAAGTGTTTAGCAGTTGTCTTATGCTATTCATCTCTCTCAAAAGAGAAATCCTTGTGTGTTGGGATTTTTAAAACTCCTTTTAATTACAGTTTTGTTGTAATGGCTCTCTTGTTACAATGTACAATTACTTCCACAGGCAGGAAAAGCATTTAGGAAATTCCTTCCCCTCTTTGATCGGGTACTGGTTGAGCGATGTGCAGCTGAGACAGTAACCAAAGGAGGAATCATGATACCAGAAAAATCCCAAGGGAAGGTACTACAAGCAACAGTAGTAGCAGTTGGATCTGGAGCCAGAGGAAAGGTAATTACCCTGAAACTTTTCACTTGGGTAGACCCAGTAATGGTGTGGTGGTAGTTGGGATATTTTCATTAGAGTGGGATGGTTGTAGCGCAAAAGTGGTGATAGCTCACAAAAATGGATGACTGTGATGGCTGAAATTGCAAATGGGGATTCAAAAAGCAGGTAAAAATATCAAGTTGTCCTGAAATGAATTCCAGCATTCCTTTCATCTTTTGTGAAATGGAGTGGGGTTTCTTTTGTTTGCTGTTTGTTTGCTTGTTCAATGATGGAGGGTTTTTTTTGGGAGGTGTTGGTGTTGTTTATTTTAAAATAATGTAGACAGTGTTTTGTGTGATACCTTGTTTCATCTCTTCTCAGCCAAAGCCTTGAGAGACCAACAGACTTCTTTGTTAAAATTATAACATGGCCAAATGTCTGTGACTTGTGAGCAGGGTGGAACCCCAGAATGTGGTATTGGCTGTCTTGTGCTGTGTAAATTATCATTGTCCAGGAGGATTAGGCTTATTGGACTAAAAAAGAAGTGTTGAGTAACTGCTTGTTAATTTTGCACATATTGGGTATGTGTATGGAAATAAGACAGTTCACAAAAATGCTGGTGCCTGGGGGCTTCCACATCAGAAGGGCTGGTTCCCCACCAGAGCAGGGTTCAATCAGTCACAACACTAAAAACAGGTTAAATTTCAACTTGGGCACCTTGCCTTGGCCTTTCTTTACCATGAGTCTCTCTATACATCCCAGGCTGGTTTATGTCAGGATCTGATTTTTAAAGGTGTATGTTGTGAAAGGGTGATAATATTTGACTAATGTGTTAATGTTTTATTTATAATACAAAAATTAATTAAATTTTATCAGGTGTTTCTAAACAAGTGATTTGATGGCAAGAGTGACGAGTTGATCAAAGTTACAGAAATGGGAAGGTACTTTTTTAACTGGCACTTTAACAAATTATCTTTGGCTATAGAATATGGAAATGGACTTTGTCCCTTGATTTTACAAGAAAGTTTCTTGCTTTTTAAATGAAGTCCTGTTCAGTGTGTCAAGTGAAGACCTTACACTTATATTTATAGTCAAAACTAAATGCACAATTGTGATTTCATGAATATTTCTGTACATGGATGGATAGTTGTTGTTTGGAAGAATTCTATTACATCTGTTTATGTAATGGAAAAGTAAGGACTTTTTTCTTTTTCCAGAATGGTGAGATTCAGCCAGTGAGTGTAAAAGTTGGTGAAAAGGTTTTGCTCCCAGAATATGGTGGTACTAAGATCGTACTAGAAGATAAGGTAGGTTTCCCAACTTTATGAGTACAAATCAGAATGGTTCCTGAAACACCAGTGGTAAATACTGTGGTTGCTTCATGGTGTTGTCACCATTCAAGAAAGGGAGCAGCTGGATTCAGCCACCTTCTGGTAGCTGTGCTATTGCTACTTCTGCCCCTCCATAGAAGGAAGTAACCACGGGAACCTCTGACCTGACCTTTGCTGCGTGGGCAAGATGTTCCTTATGTCAAGTACATATTAGAGAGAATCCAAAAAGGCTTAGAAATTCCTGGGGGCATTCTTGCTTTTGGCAGGGAAAGCCTGCAGAATTGTTTTCTAACAGTTCTTGCACTTACCAATGCTAGAAGTAGTAACTTGATAGCTCTCCAAAGAGTATCTTGGGAAGAAAAATAGCTTTTTCAAGATTAGCTCTATGTGTTGATTTCTTGATTAACTCACTTTTGATTTTGTGCTTAATGACTGCAGTAATGCTTACTCAGAACAAGACAGTATTTGCAAAACAAGAAAAATACTTACATGACAGAAGCTAATGTTCCTTTTCTTTGCAGGACTACTACTTGTTTAGAGATGGTGACATTCTTGGGAAATACGTGGACTAAACCTGTTGCAGTATCAGTCATCCATTCCAGTAAAACGCTGAAATTTTTCTTTCATCATGTAAATAATGTCCTTTATTTTATAATAAACAGGCATCGAGTCTTTGAAATAACTTGTGATCTCACTGTAACGATGGAACACAAATAAAACTATGTACAGTCAGAAATCAGTTGCTCTTGCTTGAGTTCCATTGAACAGTGAAATTTGGATGACCACCAGCCAGCCTTAATTATTCCAAACAACATCACTTTATATCCTTATCTCTGTATTGAGATTGTAAAGGTCTTTACAATAAAGTTCAAAAGCTATTGTGCTTCTGTCTCAGTTTCTGCTGTTGCTCAGTGAAACTGAGTCTCACTTGTGTTCTTGCTGATACATTCAATGGTACGAATATGTTATTGTCCCCAAGTTTGTATGAAATGAGCTTAAAATGGTTACCAGACAGGTGCGGTCTTGCTGAGGACTTTTATCCAGCTCCCTTGCACATTGGACTCCTGAGATAGCACAGGTTCTTTTAACTTCTGTCTGAAGACCCTGAAACACTGGAAGATTAATGCACACAAACCACCCTGCCACAAACAGCCTGTCCCCCAACAGTTGGAAGAAGCTTGGTGTTAGTCATGTCTGTGCTGGAACAAAATCATCCAGTTCCCAGATGAAGCAGATAAGAATTAATGGTTGTTCTCCCTTATTGCTCACTGAATTTTGCCAATAGAAAATAAAAAACTTCCCCTCAGCAGTTAATCAGGGGGGCTGATGCTGATCTTAAATGAAGTTTCTTTACTGATTACTACACTATCACACCCAGATCTTGGGCTTTCCCTTAAGCATATAATTCCCTTTGATAAATTATATTTCATTTATCTTTAACACACCATTCTTAAATAGCAATACATTGACTTAGGTGATGCTGAAGCAATTAAATTTGCATATTTCTGGCCACCTTCTCTCGCCTCAAAAAGAATTCGGGGTTGTACATGCAGAAGCATCCAGATCTGCATTGCTCCTGAGGAGGCTTTCAAAGCTGGGGTGCACAGAGGCATCTAATGCAGCCTAAGAACAAACAGTTCCTTAGAGTGCTTTTGGGGTGGTGGTAGTGAAATCAGTCTGTACGTGACTTACTACTGCTGAGACTTCATTGGCTGGAATTAAACTGCCCTTCTTTCCCATCCCATTCATGCTGATAAGAACTCAGCACTGCTAGATACATTATAACCCTTAGTCCAGAGGTAATAGTAAACTGTAACAAAATATTTTTCAGGACTGCATTCAGTTGCTGCAGTGTGAGACTCGAGCTCTGACAGTTCGAAGGACAATTTATTTTCTGCCATCAGAAAGTCCCTCCCATCAGGGACAGAGGTGAGCTGGAGCCACGTTTTTCCCTGGATGCTGTTGATCACCCAGCTATTCCAGCAGGAGCTGCCTTTTCCAGGCTTGGCTTCAGTGTCTTTTGCTCCCCTTGGCAGTGGGGTTGTTGCTCTTGGCTGGTTCCCTCTGCTTGCTCTGGAGCTGAAGGCAAACCAGGCATTTCTCTGGGGGTTAAATTTGCACTGAACTATGGACAAACAGGGAAGATGCTCAAGTAATAAAAATACACTTTTTGGTATAAAAGGCCTACTTCTTGAAATCTGCTCTATTGCAGTTTTACTCTAGTAGTTACAGCACTGCACTTTCAAGCTGGAACTTAAGATAATCATGCCCCAAGGACTTTGCAGGACAATTGATTGTGCAATGAAACACAAACTCCCTGGGAAGCATTATCTTCCACTGCAGCCAGCCTGCCTTTATCTCCCAGGATAAGGCAGGCAGTCTGCTGCAGTCACATACCAAAGAGGGGAAGGTATTTCAAATATTTACAAACTGCTTAGAGACACTATACCCCATCTCAAAATGCATGAGAAATTAACTGCCAACAGAAAAATGTTTAGGCCTAAAATTTCAACATTTCTTTCCATAATGTCTCCAAAAGACATGGACTGCATAGGATCACACTGAGCCCACACCACACAACCTGGCTGCCCTCAGCTCCACATTCAGCCCACACTTTCAGCCCTGCAGGTTTTCAGCAGCTTGGTACAATGCCTATTTATTAAAATATTTATCATGGCTGTATCTACTACGGTTTACATGAGTGATAAAAACCAGAAGTCACGCTTCATGGGAATAAGTAATTTATGGATGTGGGGGGAAAATAGCGTTCCTAGGCCTAATCAAAAGGAGGACACGCTGGAACATCTGCTGGATTGACAGGAACATTCTATCCTTGCACCACAAGGCTCTCACTGCAAACAAGGACAAGGCAACTGCCACACAGCCAAGGTGATCTGTCTGCTGTTACTGCCTCTCAGGCCCTGACTGTGTGCCAAATCCTGTATCCCTCGGGTTCTTCAGGGAAGGACGGACAATCACAAACCCTCTTTCTTTGCTGTGCCCCTCCTGTAGGAAATTATGTTTCTTTCCACTGTTTTCTAGATGGGTTCAAAACTTCAGTTTTGGTGTAGATGTTGCATACTTCAGTCTTTCTTCAGTCTATGTGAATCACAAGGAGACCAGGTGGACTCCAGCTTTTGTGACTTTCTTTTCTTAACACTTCAGAATAGCTTCCATTATCAGCAGCTGTAGTGTTTTCAGAGAGCTTTTCTCACCCTGGTTATGTTATCCTGCCACTGTAAGAAAAGGATGGAACATTTATATGTGAATAAAGAAGAAAGGACAGCCAGGTCTCTAAGAGCACATGAATGGTTGATAAAATTTTGGCCAAATATTCAAATTTTCATGAGTGAAGGCCATAAAATAATGAAGACCAGCTGAAACCCAAAACCTAAAATTTCTGTTATTCAGATTTTGTTCAAAAACAGCTTGAAATTTAATGAAGTAAAAATAAGCATCTTCCAGGAATACAGGGTCAATTATCAAGGGGCAACACAAGATGCCCCACAGAATTCAAGATCTTAACAAAAGAGGCAGATTTCTCTCCTTTTTTCTGCAAGTGCATGAGCCATCTTCAGATAGAACTAATAGACATTTTTCTGAGAGGTATTTCTTCAAAGTCAGATATGTTTCCATGTTAAAAGCAAGATGGCCATGAAATGAAAGTCAGGGACAAATGGAAATGTCAAGTCCACAATTTTTCAGTGCTTTAAGGCTAAACCTTGAATATGGTGATAGAAAAAGGAAAAAAAAACCACAACAAAAACCCCCAGCAAAAACAAACAAAAATATTGCAAACAAGCTGCTGAATTTTGAAGGACCCAAGCAACTAGAACAGCTTGTGTTTCGAAACGGGCTAATAATAATATATATAAAAATTAATGTTGGAAATTAAATTAAAATTAATTATTAAAAATAATTATTTAAAAAAATTAATGTTGGAATACAGCTGGTCTAAAGAGGTAATAGGACATTTCTACTCCTCATCCCAACGCACCAATTTCCCACAGCATTTTAGACCTTCTGATGGTTTCTTACACAAGCTGGGTTTCGCCATGCGACCCGAAGAGCTGACATCCCTGGGGCAGGAATGCTGGCCAGGAGTAAAAAAGTAACTACTGCAAACCGAACTCAGGTGGCCGAAGCCAGGAATGCCGAGCTCCGCGTTACAGTGTAACGTGAGAGGAGCTGCTCTGGCGGCAATGGAAACTGCGGGTTAGCTGAGGCAGGCCTGACCCCGTCACCTATTTCTGCTCCCTCTAACCCGGCCCCCCGAGCAAGGCAGGGTCCTCCTGCTCACGGCCTTGCCCAAGCTAAGTCAGGTTTCAAAGGGCACTGCTCTTTCTGGCGGGAAAGTCTTATTAGGGATTTTTCAGTGTTTTAGATCTAGAAATGTTTCACAAACTGTAACTTTCACTGCGTAGAAGGAAGGGGTTTTAACGTGTTATTTACAACAAAACAGTATTCACCCTGAAATGCGCTGGGAGTCGGGACAGCACCAGGTAGCAGCCTTGTCCATTTTGCAGGAAACACCACACAACTGGAAGCATTTATTCCTTGTTTTTGTGAGGGAGGTGTCTCATTGGTACCTCGCTGCTTCATCGTTCTTGCACAGAGACAGAAGCAATTCACACCTCCTTATTCTGTACTCACTTCTGTCATGAGAGATGGAACAGCTTTCAAATAGTTTTCTTCTCACTTTCCTACAGAAATGGTATGAGTCACTTAGGTCTTCCCAAATGTTTACTTGCTTGTAAGGGAGATGTATTTATCAGCCAGCTATGAGGTAACAGTGTCTTTTTTCTGTTTTCTTCCCAAATAGAATCAACACCCGACACAGTAAACTTTGAAACCTAAGCTAACTCTGTTTGCCATTAGCCCAGCAGTTTGTGCCCTCTGCACACCAAGCTCACAGGTGTCTCAGTCCTGCCTTTGGAGATAAGCTTCCTACCTACTTTTAAATTATTTTGCTGCAAAGAACCCTTGCTGGGGTGGGTTCTTTACTCATTATTTTGAGAGTTAACTATAAATCTTGAATACAAAACTGATGTTTTTTAAAATCCACACTCGTATGGTTTGTACAGTACAGAACATCAGGGACTCGGTTGTACAGAGAAAGGTTAGCGAGGACTAACCTTGCGTGAGCGCATGCACAGCCAGGGGACGGCGGGGGGGATGCTGATGAAACAGGATGAAATGTGAAGGATGGATTTCCTCAACAACCCTCAATCAACTCAGGCCCTCAATCCCCGTGCGAGGCTTCCCCTCACAAACCGGGTCACTCGCTGCGACACCGGCCCCGCCGCGCAGCAGGGAGCGGCCGCCCCAGGACTCGCCACTCCCGTCTCTGCGTGTGGGGAGTGGCAGCGCTGTCCCTCAGGAACACAAAGCTCTGCTACGCTAGAGGGACCCGCAAGTGACCACAGGGCACTGCCCCGCAGGGAAGAGCCCGTGGCCTCCAGCGCCGCTCGGAGAACGGCTCGTCGGCGCTGCCCTGCGGCCGGGCTGAGGCAGGCGGGAAGGGGCAGGAAATGGGAAGGAAATTGGAGCGGGACAAGGAATGGGAGAGGGAACGGGGAGGCCTCGCCCCCTCCTTCCCTCACGGTCGCCCCCGCGCGCCGCCTCCCGACTTCTCTCGCGAGAAGCTGTTCCCGTCCCCGCCTCGCGCGCCGGCTGTTCTGGGCGCTGCGCCCCTCCCTCCGCAGGCCGGCTTCCGCCCCGCCCCGCGGCTGTTCCCGCCCCGCCCCG